AGGACGAAAGACTGTACACGCGTACGATGCTCATGACGGCATACAAAGATGCTCCTGATGCCATAAAGCTAGATGCTCATGAAGCTCCGAGAACCCCAGACCCTGGACCCCAGGAGGCTGGTTGAGGTCCAAGTCGAGTTAAATGAGAGGGGAAGGTAGGCACATGAGGGGGGGGTACCATATATATATATATGTGTATATATATATATACAATGCAGTTAAATACATATCTAATTGGTTAGGTAGTCAGTTGTTTAGTTACTTCGTTCGTTCGTTCGTTCGTTCGTTCGTTACTTAGTTACTTAGTTAGTTAGTTAGTTAGTTAGTTAAGTATGTAATATACACTAGATTAACACATTTTAACAAGTGTGCGTAAATATCCATCTCTATCGTTCTCTCTCTCTCTCTCTCTCTATATATATATATCTGTATAGATATATAGATGAAGTCTCTTCGATAAGGCCAGGGCAACAGGGGGCTATGGAGATTGCACAGAAAAGCCTGTTGTGCTGTATGTCTTGCGTGCATGTGTTTTTTTGTCTTGGCTTATCTTGTCTTGTATGGTGTTCTATTGTATGGTAGGTAGAGAGAGAAGAGACGTTGTCTGGTGGAGAGGGGGAGAGCGAAGGAGAACGTGAAAGAGAACGAGAGAGATACAGATGCTGTTGCAGGAAGACAGATCCAGTATTTCATGCAACACTGGTAACATAAAGTGGCCTTGTTTCTTCTGCCATGGACCATCCAGCTTGCGAGGCTCAGGCAGAAGGCGTCTTTGATTGGGTCGCTTGGCCTGTCTTCAAGCCTTCAAGTCGCGCAGCTGTCATGGACCATCATGGTACCGATATGACGAACTAGCTGAAGCTGAACTGCTGCTTCCCTGAGGACTCTTTTCCGTGTTGCTGGCGAGAGCATCGCCCCGCTGGAGGGATACTTCCAGGACTCAACGAAGAACTGCCAGGCGAGGGTGCAGGCTCCCCTGATGTACGAGAAGTTATTCCCAAGTGCTTCGCCAGGTCTTTTCGAAGATTTGGGACAAGCCGCAAGAGGAACCCGAAGTAGAGACCTTGGAGCCTCATCTCTGCACCTCTTGAAATGCTGAAGCCTCTCAAAAAGCCAGGGGTCCTATCGTCTTGCCAAGGGATCGCCGGAGAAGTCCAAAAGCGACGGGCAGAAAGAGGCAGCACTTGCAATCTGATTGCGATGTTTGCTGCGCGTTTCCCGTCTCAGGCAGAGCTGTCGACCCCGAAAGCTCAGCAAACCGTGGAGTACCTTGGCTGCAGTCGGCTCCAGAAGAGTTCTGCACCCGTGTCTCTCGAGGATTGTGAATGGCTCTCCAGCACCAACGGAATCTCGGCGTCGTGTTGCCTTCTCCGACAGCACACTTCCCTTCCTGCGTCCCCCGTGAGGAACGGGAGGACGAAACTCCGGAACAGAAGTCTGCAGCAAGCGGCAGGCGCACAACTTGTGTGCAGCACGTGTAGCCGAGAGCCGCGAGGTCTAGGACAGCCACTGCAGCTACTGCTTCAGAGGCTACCGGACCATCAAGGCCAGCAGTCGAAAGAGGAAGATACAGGACAGGGATCACATTCCAGCGGAGAGTTGACGAGACACGCAAGAACTCAGCTGGAGCTAGCAAGGAGGTCCCGAGACCTTTCTCAGCTCGTCTTCATCCTTTCTCTCCTCCGTTCTTCCCCGTGGCCGAGATTCAGGCGCAGCTGCAGATTCGACAGACGATCCAGCCGCGCATGTTGCGATGGACTGCTCTGGAGCTTCAGAACCTGCAGATGCCAATGTCCAAGAAGGCACCTGGGCTTCACAGGAGAGACTGTTTTTCAGGCGATGTCATGCGATGCCCACCGAAGCTTCAGGAAGCAGCCAGATGTCTTCCGTGTCAGCTTCAGCTCGAGTTCTCTTGGCAGCAAGCGGAACTGGTGCTGTCACTGTTGGCTTTTCCTGCGTATCTAGCAGAAGTGAATGGATCTCCGGTCCTCTGGACGTGACAGGTCTGATAGATCTGGTTCTGAACGGTTGCAGACGTTGTTGGGATAAAGGTTCCGCCGGACGCTGACAACATCACGAGCTTGAAGCACAACTTTGGGGAGCCTGGATACTGCCTCTGCCAACTGAATCTGAGGATTCCTGGCCTTCACAGGTTCACGTGCTCCACCTTTGTGGTAACCTGTTGGATGTCAATCGGGTTGATAGTATTTGATCTTGATGTGAAACATGTTGTTTTCCCACCACGTTTCACTCCCTCCCTAATTCCTCGTTTCGAAAGTCGTGCAGCAGGTCGAGATACCTCTCAATCATTGGCTGGCAGAAGGCATGCTTTGTTCCGTAATTTGCCCGAAGGAGTGAATACGACACGCCGCGGAAATGCTCCCGCAAGAGCTCGCCCTCTGCCCTGCGGTGTACTCAACACCTCAACAGCAAGACGGCCATGAGCTTCTGCAATGAGGCCAGCTCTTTAGAGCTGTTGTCCGCATTCGGGGTACGTTTTGGGAGAGACCTTCCGGCTTCAGCAAGCAACCGGTCAAGTTGTGGCATGGATGGATGCAGAGATGCAGGGCATGTCAGGAATGTGGTTCCGGTGTTATCATGATTTCCAAAGGGAGGAACGGGACAACCCTAAGTCATGATAGCTTACGCTGTGTGGTGCTGTAGTGAGCATGTTGTCCTGGCAGATGCACCTGGATTGGAGCTGCGTCCGAGCCGATCTGCAGAACGGAGCATTTCGAGTGGAATTCCACTGTCCCTTGTCTCGCCCCAGCTCATGTCAGATGGCTCGTCATCAACTCTCATTGACCGGGTGTGGAGTGAAATCATGAGACATTGATCAAAGTGCTATCGAGGTGATACGCCATCCAGCAGGAGACATCCGGATGCGGAGGGAGCGCAGGACAGCAGTGTTGAGGTCGCAGCATCAATCCGTGACTAGCACTGGCTCCTCCGGGAACATCGGCACATCCACCATCGCGTGAGTTTGCCTGACTGCTCAAAGACATTAGACAAGCAGAGAGTCCACGGGCATGCGAATCAGGGGGCTGCATGGGCCCTTGCATTTGAGGGAATCTTACTGCCTTCGGAGTAGATCTGGCGGAGCTGCGATAAAGATTCAGTGCTGATGCTTGCAAGGATAAGCGACCTCCAGCCCGCGACTTCTCGGTCGCAGTATTTGGGAACGAAGCTCTCAGAGCAGTGGCGGACTACGTTGCGGGGAAGCCCCAGGCTCAGTACAACTGCACCGCTTTTTGGAGCATCATGCAACTTCCGCCGAGGTCCTATGAGGCACTGACAAAGCATGCGGAACCACCTGCAAAGAAGCCTCGCATCAGGTAGCGCGGGGCCTTCAGGCTGCAACTCTGAAATGCACTCCGATGTGTGGGGCCGCTGCAGTGCAATCCTGAGGCATCTGCTGCTCTTCCTGGCGGTGCATGTCTTTGACGACATCGAGGTCTATGTGTGCTTCGGCCAGCCTCGGCAGATCGGTCCGGCAAAGAGTCAGAGCTATTGGACAAGCAGAGAAAACGTCAACGTTCCTGGGGCAGGGAGGACACTGGACGAAAAGGATCAAGATCTGGATGGCATGTGCTGCCAGCCTGAGTCTAATTCCGGTGAGTTTCTCAAAGAGAGAAAGCAGTGAAAAAGCGGCGTGTCTGGACTAATCCAGTATCCTCAGTACGTGCTGACCGATGCTGTTGGGGAGGTTTTGTTCCGTTGTTCCCGCGTCACACTTCACAACCTAGGGTAAGGGGAACATGCCGACAAGGTCGCAATCGGCTCACTTGTTGCAACTTGCTTCGGAACAGGACGAAGATATCGGTAAACGCCTTGCGACAGGTCCTTTCGCTCACGTGTGCGCTGCGCCTAATGCCTCAGCATCATCCTTGAACAAGGTCAGCGTCCTTCAGTGCAGGCACATATTCATAAGTGCTCCTCCTCTACTTCTTTCTTGCCTTGATGATTACGTGACATTCTCGGTCGATAACACGCATGAGCCGGCCAGCTTGCACATTCCACGCACAACGACTGAGATGCCGGGGTAGGAAGAGCAGGGGTCATCAGGCTTTTTGGAGTCGCTTGGATTCCTTTGTGAGCCATGGGCCAGCAGTGCTGCGGTAGCAGGCCGAAAGAGGACGTGCATACAGAGGGATGTCTTCTGCTACAGGATCATTCAACACCGACTGCTTGGTGTTGTTTATGGCTCATGGTTTTCATCTTGCTGCAATCAGAGTGTCTTGAAATCACGGCTAACGCCTACAAAACCAGAAATCCCCAACCCTTCGTGCAAGAGCCTCAGGACTGGCCGGTCTGCGCGACCAGGCTCTCGCAACAGGGCTCTAGTTGTGGCACAAGACAGCCAGCTGACTGCTAAGTATGCCTTGAGAGAAGCGTCGTGATTGCCCGGATTCACGTTACGAACAGCGCAGTGTCCATGCTCTCAACCTCCAGGGCCCGAGGGCTCCGACTGCTTGTACCAGCTTGATGCAGGTCTCCACCTCCGCAGGCATTCCGCAAGATCCGCAGCGAGCTCGACGACGAAATCGTGGCTGGCATGCAAGTCTCGGGAACTAGCTGCATAAGTTGCAGCAGCAGACTAGCCTGCCCACTATGCAGAGTCTGAACGAAGCTGCGCACCAGTGGAGACCCTGAGCTTGCGGAGGACTCCACGGTCGCATCGCCGGTGGCAGCCACCAAGCAGGGGGTCACCAGATTCGGCTCAGAGGCAGATACTGTAGTAGCAGCTCGTCTAGATTTCCATAGTTGCATCGACATAGCATTGAACTGACAGACGATGTTGATAGAGCCTCTTGTCGATTCGGCTACGCGATCTTGCCATTTGTGTGATGTGATTAGTTGTCATATGTTGTTATCTTCCTTGCTGTCACTCTTGTCGTGTCAGTTCGCATAGTTGCCCAGCCAGGTATCAGCAGATGGTTCCATTGGCACTGCAGCTCGGACTAACATGGATGTTTATCAACACTCCCATAGCAACAGCAGGCAGAGATAACGGAACAAGCAGCAGGTGAATTGAAAATATTAGTCTGCCATACAGCAGAAGCGTTGTCGCCCTCACCTTGGCTTGGGATGCAACTCCGGCACATGGTTGCGCGAGCGCTTTTTGTTGGGTCGTCATTGTTGCTCACACGCCGGAGCTGGCCCGACTCGCATCCCAAACTTCCATGAGAGGTGGTCCCGGTGACGGAGGTTTCACAACGGTGAACGCGGTGTGTTTTAAGCTTGAGCGGCGTGGTCGCGCTTACCAAGTTGTACGAAGTTGAAGGGCGCGGAGGTTTGATAGTTTTTGCCGGTTGCGGACAGAAGTTACGGCGCTTATGGGTTCTGTTGTGCGGCAGGATTCTGCAACGCCTTTGGTCTTCGGAAGTTGAGCTCAGCCTGCAGTTGGCAGGCAGTCAGTCAGTCAGTGTGTGTGTGTTCCTTGATGAAACAGTGCGGCGCGAGGGAATCCACATGACTCCCACACAAATGTCACAGCCTTTTTGTGTTCGAGGTGACGAATCCGAGTACAAACGCGCGTAATGCAACATTCTGCATCATTGAGCGCAGTGGGTGAGGCAAGTCGAGCCTTACAGCCCCCATTTTAGACATCGTGAGACGGTTCAACAAGCAGCATTAGCTGCCGCGCCGGGCGCCGACTCAAAGAATGAGCAGAGCACAGCAAAGTGATGTTTCTTTGGCACTTTAGGTCCCTGGTTTCCTGCTTCGGTTGCTTTTGTTTGCTTTGTTCAGTCGGTCTCGTTTCGCTTGAAACTTCTTTCTGTCTGAGGGTTAGGGGAACTCGTGTCAGCATTATCTTGTCTTGCGCATGATTTGTCCGGGCAGGAGGTTCGTTTGTAAAATCAGTCGCGCGGTTGTCTGCTATTGGCAATGGGGCGCGGGGCAAACCACACTCGTCTGCTTTTCTGCTGGCTCCTCTTGATACGGGCGAATCAGCTGCGACACCGTAGACAAACGAAGAAATTTAAGAAATAATTGTTGTGGTGGCTATTGCTATCGCCATTGTGTCTCTTCTCGGTCTTTTCTCCATCGCTCCACGTGTAGCCAGCTCGATGCCGAGACTCCCAAGTGGAACAGGCGCACCAACATACCAAAGCCGACCACAACATTCGGTGCCGCCCCTCATCCTAACACATCGTCAGGCCACGAGGTTAAGTCGGACTGAGCAGTCCTTCCGAAAGCCGCCCAAATGCACAACTGGAGCTTTCCAAGCGAGGGCCTCAATCCTGAACCCTAACCGCCTTCACTTGCTAGGTTCAAAAATCTATAGGGACAACCCAAACATCGTGCTGCACGGGTAAACCTTGGTCTCCATCCATGTCCCTTCTTTGGCGAGGTTGTTCAGGGCCGGGGTAGTACTGCGTGCTCAGCGTTTGCCTTCTGTGCGGCTGCTGCTTCATTAACTGGAAGAGCTGAGCCGGGGATCCATTGGACGCTTTTTTAGGCTCACTACTGGCAATCAGTTATGCAGAGCCGCTGTAACCTGAAAGCGTCTCAATGAGGGAATCCTTGCGGCCCAGTCTTCCCTGAGCGGCTCCGCCGTTGGCTTCGGCATTGCGGGGCAGCTGCTGGCTGAGTCAAGGTGCTGAGGGGACTTCAACGGATCTCGAACACACAGTTGGGCCACATACTGTGCATCTGCTTGCTTCTTGGTTCATTCTGCCAGGCTTCGTCGGACAGAGGCACGTGCCGCCATGGTCTGGAGAGTATGTACTAACGATTGGGCTGATTTCAATGTCTCACATGTTTTGGGTCGCTTCTTGCTCTGGATTCTCGCGAGTTGTCATCAAAGGCCATGATGAAGTTTCATGGGTGCGATCATTGCAACTGGCTGATGGAAGTCTGTTTGCAGGAGTGCTTCTCAATTGCCAGAGACGTGCCACTCACAGAGGAAGGCTGGTCCAAGTCATTAAGATGTCTCAAATCTTCATTGCAATTCAGCGGGAAGCACAGCAGAGTAGAATAGATGGAGTACACTCAAGGCTTGACCAGCAGGTTGCTCAGCAATACATCGCCATGAGTGTTCACCCAGCAGCATGTGATATCATCTTCGCAGGCTACACCCACCTGGCGAACATTCGGGACAAGGCTGCAGGGATTCTGCGCGACCGTAGCGGTGTCCTTTGCCTCTCTCGTAGCTGTTCGACTTGAAGATAGAAACCAGAATCTTCGCACAGGAGGCCATGACGGTCTTCGCCCAGCGCCTTGTCGAAGCGAAAGGTGGGCGTGTGGAAGGCCACGGCGCAAAAGAGGAGCTGGCAGGCACCTCTGACAAACCTTGCATATACCTCGGCTGCATCGACATTCCGAATCAGTTTCCAAGAGCTCGCAGAAAAGGTTGTTGGCTGTGGTCCGTCCATCTCAGCTTCTATCATCTTTCCTGCTTGCTGCTTGGCTGGTCAGGCATAGCAGCCTGGCATAGCAGCGGCCGCCCGCTGGCAACCTTCGACCTGTTGGAAGACGAGTTGGAGAGGCGCTTGGAGCGACTGAGTTGCGCGTGGGCTGAAGTTTTTGTGATGTGCGCGGAGCTGTTGCAGCACTGCTCCCTCATGAAGAGTCCACAGCATAGTTGGAGAACTTTGTTACCCACTGCTCAAAGACAGGGCAGCTTGGGCTGGAATCCCTCCGAAAACCGCGCAGTCCCAGGACAGGTGGTTGGATGTCAATGCGACTTGTTGGGTTGGGTCGAGAAGTTGGCAGACGCGTACAGGGCTGGACCGACACGGTTCACAGCCTTTCACGGCCACCAGGAGTTCACGACTTTGAGCCAATGGCCAGACCCTCAGAACGCCAGTCACGGCTACTTAAGCATGGTCATGCTAAGGGCTGGCAATCGTTTTCTGGACTAACCTCAACTTCCAGCCGCGAAGCTCGAGCGGTCGCGTCTCAGGTACCGTGCCAACTCTCCCCCGCGTACGCCCGCTGACACCCTGCTCCTCGAATGCATGCAGACGGCTCATGAGATAAATTTGCAGGTCATACATCTGCACACTACTGTATTCCCAATCACGAACAGCTACCTCTTGTTGGGCTACGACGATCTACGCCAAAACGGCCATTCCTTGAGAGCAGGTCTGGATGGTACTTCGACGGACAGCCGCGTCCAGACTCGAGCCCAGAGCTCAGCTGCTCGAGGGATCCGTGACGGTCTGAGTGTTTGTCTGAACATACTATTCTTAAGGCCCCTAGTATAGAGCCTTATCATAGATCCCTTCTCGACCCCTTAAAATAAGGAGCCCCCAAAACCCTATTCTAATTATTAAGGCCCCTACATAATGGGGCAACATGACTCGAGCGCTGGCAGCTCCTCAAGGTCAGCCCGGCACCACGGAGCAGTACCACATCGGCTCCTTCTTAGGCCGTTAAGTTGGCCACCCCGGGCGACACCAGCCTGGAACCGCTGTGTTAGCTCATCTCTTGAGAGATGTCCTTGCAACTGAGAACTCTGAAAAGGGGTTCGGACCGATCCTGGGGTCTCCTCGAAAAGGAGGCTTGTTCCTTTCCGTTTCAAGACATGCTGTAACGGATGGTTTTTATCCGAGAAAAGCTGCAAAGATGCCCACGTCCAGAGTTTCGCGGCTCCAACTCCGGACTCGGTTCAGGAACTGCTGTCATAACTTTGACACGACGGCCCGAGCATGTTTCATATCATGGCCGCGTGTGGTTGTGTCTGCAGGCTGACAGCACGAAAAGAATGTATGGCATCAGCAGTGCCAGCTAAACGGAGGGAAGAAAAGCAAGCGCCAAATGACCAAAGCGGATAGATAGCCACAAGCACGAAAAGATTCCATGGAGCACAAAACGCATCAAGCAACATCAGCACCCGTCGTCCCTGCGGTTGTGATGTTTGAAGACTGGTCGGCCCAGCTGGTGAGCGGAGATGGAAAGGAGTTGTTTGCAAAGGACGGATGTCATGGCTTGCTTCCGTTGCCGCTTATGCTGGGACGGCGCAACGTGCTCTGGATGAAGAGTGCTCGGCTGGTTTCCCTGTTTCTGAGCCTGCTTAGCATCGCAACAGGCTTGGTCTGCTGGTCTCGCTTCAGCACCTTACACGCTGGTTACGTGTACGACATGGCAGCAGGAATCAGCTTCAACGTCAGCCAGCTCTCGCAGCTCAGCCACCTGGTAATGGTCGCAGGACATGCAGTGGTCATGGCAGACTCTCTGGAGCACATCGTGCACAAAGAGTCCGACTGGTTCCTTGAAGCCTATCAGCGTGGTCAGGACCTTCCCCAAGCCCTCGTCAGCCACATCAAGGCTAGAAGCAGGTAAAATGTCGCAGACCTCCATGTGCACCTTCTTTCAACGTGTTTACAGACAATTTATTTATTGAGGCCACGGTATCCTCTAATTAATTTGGAAAAGCGCCGTATCCATAAGAAAGGCTGTCGCACTGCAATCGTCCTGAGAAGCGACACTACGCCTGCTCTCTGGATAGTCCATAAGCTTAGGGGCCAGGGGGTCTAATGCGGCTCTGGTGAAGGTGGTTGAGGGAGACTTCACACATGATTCAACAGCTCTTGATGTTTGAAGGCGGGAGTGGAGGCAGCTGCACTGGATCCAAGAGCTCTGCTGATATTCTCTGGAGGTCAGACTCGTGCTGCAGCGGGACCCCGAAACGAGGGCTGGAGCTACTATCGGGTAGCCGAGTACTTCGACTGGTGGGGATACTCTGCAAATCGCCCTGATCTTCTAAGGGAGGCGCAGCAGCGCACGCAGCGCACATCTACATATTTGCCAGTGGCACAACGCGCCGTGACGGAGGAGTTCGCCTTGGATTCCTTCCAGAACGTTCTGTTTTCCCTTTGTCGCTTCAAAGAGGTCGTGGGCCGCTATCCTGACAGGGTCACCATCGTGAGTTTCACCTTCAAGAAGCCGCCCGCCATTGCTTAGCGGTTCGGACCGGGAGCACGTTACTCGTACGGCTTACTCCCCAAAGAGGGCTTTCTGACCTCTCCTCCCAGGCAGCGCTTCTCCGAGTTGCACCGTGGAGCCTTGCGCTTTCCGAGCGCCAGGTTCTGGCGGGATCCGATGTTGCAGAGTAGTTTTGAGTCATCAGGCTTCGGGGTGTTCGGATCTGGGCAGGCACGCAGTTTGGGGCTTCGAAGCATAAACGCTGAGTTTTGTCCTGTCGATCCGAAGCACTGCGGCAGCTATGATCTCTACAGTAGCTAGAGTCCTGAGAGCAGAAGCTTTCTTGTGTCACGTCACACTTCCCCCCGGAGCTTCTCGGCTGCCCCAGCGCCGATTCCCTTCCGTTGCCACAGATTTTCCTACATCGGCATCCAGCCACCTCCTGGGTCTCGCTTCGATCTGGTGAAAGCAGAATCCGGAGAGCATGAGAGCCTTCGAACGAAAGTCAGCTTGAAGTTGTGGGAAGCTATTTCTCATGAGCGCCCCAAGGGGCGCGACGTCAGAAAAATGCAGACTGTCAAAAAGATGCAGACTCTAGACGTGCATGACGCTTTTGGGCAACCTAGGGCTGCAAAGCTTTTCCAATCCGATCCCTACGGCTGCCACTCGCAAACGTTGGTGGAGAAGAGGCGTGCGAGAAACCCGCTGCTTGAATTGTGGGAAACATTCTCTCTTCGGGCTTCTCTCGCTTGCGAGCTGCAGCTTAATGCAGGCTTCGTTCCAGCGCTGTTGCCCAGGTTCCAGCGAACAACGCCCTACCTGCTTTCGTGCCACTTGCCATGACATGCAGATGAAGTGAAGAGGCTTGCACCCTGTACCCCAAGCCCTACGTAAGCCCGAAGCCACAAAGAAACGGCGAGGTCCAGAACTCAAGGCGCTCCTGCAGTGGTGCGGGCCGGACATCTTTCGCGGAGCTCTGCCTTGGGGCTTGCAGACCGAACCCTCAGAGATGGAAAAAAGCTCTTCGATTCCGAGTGCCCGCAATTCTGTTGTCTCAAGAGACTCGGCCTTCGCTCCGGAGCACAGCCTCAAGCGGTTAAAGACTTGAGCACAGGACCTCTTGAGATTTCTTTCTTGCGACCTTGCAGCCGCCATGCGCTGGACGTGCCAGGTCACCTCGCCGGGTCTCCGACCTGCGAAAGCACACGTGCGGCAGCAAAAGAGTTGGCCCATCTAATGCAGGTCGTGCTGCATGCCGCAATGCTGGGTGCGTAGCTTCTCAGCCGCGCTGAATTTGGTTGAGCCACGGATATTTCCAAGATTTTTCGGCTCAGCAAACCAGCGGCAAATCAGGGACTTGTGCCCCGCTTCGTACTTTCCGCCTGCCATGAGTGCCGGGCAGGCTTGGGGTGTTCGTAGGCTGTACGCTTTGGCCACTGGCCCAAACAGAAGCTTGCCCCGGTGCATGTGTGGAGCCGTTGTCAGTGCTATGAACTGTCGGTCGCGCCATCTCGTCTCTGCTTTCCTGTCAGCTTGACTCCAACTCAAGTGTGTGCTCACTGGAAGATTGGGCATTTGGGCAAACATGACGCAGCAGGTCTATCGCAGTTGAAAGCTATATGTTCTTGTTTCGCAGTTCATGTGGGCTTACTAAATTTACAACCTGTGGTGGTTTCAAGCAGTGGCCGTCTCTTATGCGGTTGTGCATACCTATTCGCAGGACATGCGCATGCACCAGCTGCCCTATGGCACCTCGAAAGCAAGTAGCCACGACAGGGCGGGATCTGAGAAGAGAAGTTGAAAAGTATCAAAGCACCTTCAGCCTCCTCAGTATGTGGCCTCACATACAGCGCAGGCCAGCTCGAATGGCATCCCTGTTGTTGTATGTGACCCGCACATGATGTGCAACACCCGTCTTGTTGGACAGCTTGGCTGGTACCCTGCATCAGCAGGCATTTTCAGGGCCTTGAGCCTGCAATTCAGACTGAGGAGCCGTCAAGCGAAGCGAGCGATCAATTTGCTGTGAGAAAGTCCCAGATGGCCTCTGTGCAGCAGTTGGAGGGCTGTGATCGGAACCTGCGAAACCTGTTTTGGTCAGCATGCCGAGTCGGAACCTGCAAATGATAGGCTGACTTTGCAGGGCATGTAGGGGAACGTAATCACTCGTTCGAGTCCTATGTTGTGCGAGTCGCTCGCAACTCACTTGGTCACCGCTGAGGCAGTTTCCCACCTTCACAGGACACTGCCTGCGTAGTACCGAACTGGGAACATCAGCAGCCCGAGATGTGGTTCTCTCCGACGTTTATTGGCATCATCGGTTACGGTTGCAACCGCTGTGTTAGCTTCGCATGTCTGTCACTGGCACGGGAGCATGCTTCGCAGGGCCAATACGCCGGGATGGACAACGGCTACTTGCCCCTTGGCATGGGCCCGATTCCTGTCGCGCCCTGCCCAAAAGGGGCACCTTTTCCTACACCCATGCCAGGAGGACGCCTGAGCAGTGCCATTGCACATAAGAAAAAGCACGACGTGGGAGAACGCACCCCGACACAGTTTTGAGCTGGCCACGTCGAACATGTGCAGGACCAGGACAAAGCTCGGGGACGTACGGAGGCTGGCAGAGGATTGTGCACAGAAGGTTTTGGTACAGCGAGCTGCGCCAGGCTATGGTGTGAACCCATTCCACACCGGAGCCGGCGCGTATCCTCCTGGGCTGGAGCCCGAAGTTACAGCCTTCTGAATACGAGAGAAAGCTCACGCCCACCCCGGCAAAACGTACATTCGGCTTCAAGTGATCGGATCCAGCTATGCCGTTCGTTTCCGGTACACCAATGGCTCAATGGCACAGGCTTGAAAATGGCAAGGCAGGCAATGCATTGACAAGGAGGGATGAGCATTCTTGAATGCCGGTGATCCCGGTGGCTGGGAAGTTGGACACAAGGAGCATCCCGAAGTTCACAAGCTGTAGCCGACCAATTGATAGAAGTGCACCTGCAGAAGCACAGATTTGTGAGAGATGTGTGAGACGGCGCAACTCGGGTACATGCTAACTGACGAAATCAGCTTCAGTCATGCAAACAGTTTCTTGTTGACACGGGATGCTTTTCCTTGCTCGTATGCAAGCAGCCGTGGGCTAGATGCGATGGGATGCGATAGGGAGAAGTGTAACACAAAACAATGCATTGACCGTGCCTTGGCTGCCTCAAAAAAACGATGCAAATCCCATACAAAAACACACACCAAACACAACATAGCACTTCAAAGCGGACGTTTAGCAAGTAGGTCACTGAGTTTGGGGGTTCCACAGAACATACAGACACGGATGACAAAGACCTTCATGAAACGATACCGCTACAGGCGGGGCACGCAGACCAGCTCGTCCACAGAAGAAGAAGAAAACTTAGAGAGACAGACACAGAGGGGAAGCTTTTCCGCAGGAGCTTTAAACAAGAGTGTGTTTCATCGCGGGAGCAGGGCAGAGTCGTCCGCTCTTCTCTTGCGACTTTTGTGGAGCCAAAGGGACCTTGCCTTGGCGTTCGGCAAGGTATGCTATGCCGCCCGGCCAGTATGGGTACCACGGCCTTTCCCTCAGCATTTCGGGCGCCTGGATTGAGACGACAAGTAGTCAGAGTCACTGTGTGACTTTGCATCTTCAATCCAGTATGCTGACAATCTGCATGGCAGGTTTTGGGCATGGGTTGAGATTGCAAGTTATTTGCTTGTTTGACTGCGGTGTGACGTCGAAGCCAATGTTCCTGCAAACTTCGCTTCTCTGCGGGTGAGCTGCTGAGGATACCAGAACATTCATCCAGGTTATGCGCCAGGCCAGACTTTGAATTGGATCCTAGCGGGGATGGAGCGCGTTCGATGGCAACAGGCTTCCACAACGAACCAGAGGGTTTGTGGAGATGCCTGAGCATTGCAGGAGGCTACTATGGGCACGGCGCTATGAACTCGTTGGTCCAGCGGGGATACTACCCGACAGCACGGCCAGGCACGCCATGGAGCCGTGGTCACTTGCCATCTTAGCCGGCTGGTGGAGGGCTGCAGTCAGACGTCGAGGTCGCACTCGAAAGAGGAGCTCGTGCTGCTGAGAAGGACCGGGGAAGGTCTTCGTTTAGTGCTGTACTATGCTGAATCTGAACTAGGGGCCAGGAACCACAACAGCTACGTTCTGTCCACTTCGGCTTGAGGAGACCTCCTTCGACCAAATCGTATAGTGCTGACCTTAACAGAAGTGGGTTCGCAGCATGAGGATAGTGTGCAAGTCGTTCATGCTGTCTTGCCCGGTCGACTCGTACGCAAACACACTCATAAACTCCGTCCGTCCGTCCCTCCGTTCATCCGTCCATCCATGCATCCATCCCCATTCATGCAGGCTTTATATACATATTGCATTGCTGTCGAAGCAAGCTGAATGCCATGATATGCCGTGCATACGATCGAGACTGTCGTCATCACGTGATCTCTGTGCTATATTGTGTGACGGTAGTGACATGGCGCTCAGGCCGGCGTGCCGGACTTGGTTGCCCTCTTACACAGGAAGCATGTTTCTGCACAATCGGTAAACCGAAATGCCGTCGATCACCTCCAGAGCATGTTCTTATCAAAGACTCCTAGAGTGTCCTAGAGTGGCACTAGGCCAAATATGTGTTTGGGGGCTCTGTGAAGCGTGATCTGGCAGCAGACTCGTAGGGTCCTGCAGCAGCGCATCTGAGAACCGACTTTATCCCTCTGCATCACCAGACCTGCATGTAAGGACTTATTCGATAGTGCGACTGTCTGCACAATCAACCTGGCAGTGCCTTTTTTTTGGTTGGATTTTGCTGTGCCGAGTGACCGCCTACCTACAGCTCATGCTCGCTAGCCCTTCAAAACCTTGCAACAGTACGGTCATACTTAACAGTGGCAGTACTTCACTTGAAGCGAGACGGGGGCCGGCATAGGCACTGCCCGGGAGTCCAGGGTTAGGAGCTCCTGGATTCTCGAGCATGCATGGCCATAATTAACTGGATATTTTGCCCAAAAATCCTTGAGGCCACCGTGGCCTATGCTTAGTCACAGTGACACCTTATCGCCAGGGGAGATTGTAGCCATGATGACGCTGGTTTGGTTTTTCAGCCACATCCTCACACGGCCGTTAGCAAAAAGCTGCAGATAAACATCGGAATACTTGGCGAGATTTCTGTGGAGCGCACGTAGACGACGCATCGCTCCATTGTCACCGCACCTTGCGAGCACAGCAGCCAATTGGCTGACGTAGCACCAGGGGCGTGCGAGAATTTTTCTCTTATACGAGCCTGGCCGCTGGAAATCCGCAGGGAATTGCACTGCGCTTTCCAGACGTCTCCGAAGCGGAGTCTTCTCTGTGGAACTATTTTCAGAGCACTTTTGAGGGTGTCTATCAGCCTAGACTCTAAACGCCATTGCTTCGACTCGCTGCCGTCTCCGGAGTGGCTGGGAGAGCCCCAGCTACGTGACTGATGGCAGAAGAGCCGTTGTCGACAGAAAGTCCGAGCCAATGCGCTGCACATGTCACGACAGTCTTGGATTGCTGGGGATTGTCCCCAAAGCGATCAGGCACTTCGAGATGTGTTCTAAAGTAACTGGCCTCAGTGCACATTGGGGAGCTGTCACAAAAGCGAGTCCTGTGAGGACTCGCTTCGGCGTCATATGGTCAACCTCGGCCCATGTGTGGATGAGTTTTGTTTCCGGATGACAGGCCCGCCCCTTCCTGCCACACCCGGCCACTACCGCTTCTGTTGCTTGTCGTCGCTGGCTATGCCTTCGGTCAGGGTCGCAGCTTGAAAGACCATCCACCATGTTCAGTGAATCTTTTTTGGGAACCTTTGTGTGCGTGTGTGTGCCGCGGGGATTTGGGATCAGCACCGCGATGGAAGTCTCCAGAACTGCCGGGACAGCGCTGCGCGCTGCAGGCGGTTCCCGGAAAAGTCAGGCGGCTCTGAGCTGCAGTGCCATGAGCCCCAACCAGGCAGTGACCTGAGCACAGCATCCGGCTCCAGAGGCCAGGCTTAGTTTCTGTTGCTTGCAAAACGTAGGGTGGTTGGGTAGGGGCCTTTTGGTCGGGTAAGGCCCTTTTGCATCATGACCTTTGTAGGTATCGTCGTTCCCTGTAGCTATCCGGGCCCAAGCCCCACAGCTGAGGGATTTGCTAGAAGCTACTCGTAGCGACGGCACGGCAGCTTGCACATGTGACGTGCAGCGCAGTGAAGATGATGCTGATGTTGAGCTTTGTCCAAAAGCTTGGAAGGGAGTGTAAGGCTTCTCCTGTCTAGGCTGGCCTCTGTGCGTGCAGGCTCCTCCATGTTCCGGAGCCCTTTCGCATGGCGCCTTCCACGTGTGGGAAGGCCGGCATCTGTAAGCACAGAGCGCTCGTACTCTGCGAGCAAGCACCTCGGCGACAGCATTGCCTTTGAAGCGATGGCAGGCAATTGTCAACGCTGGCAGCCGCTAGAGGACTCGCTTGTGCAGGGAACTAGTGTCGAACTGTGCCCGGGCTCCGACGACTTACTGTAGACTGCAGCAGTTTGGCATTGGCATTCACGAGAGGTGGCGCTGAATCTTCGGATCGCCGTAGATATTCAATGTAGCCTGAGTTGACTAGAGACCGAGGGCCCAGACGGCAATCCGAGAACCTGTCTCAACTCCGGGCTTCCGGTTGGATCAGGACCAAAGATCCCCAGAGCTTTTGGCCAGGAGAGTCGGTGAGAGACTCAGATCTCTGCAGGGGACTGAGAGACGGAGATCTAGCGAGGCTCTCGCAAGCAGAGGATCTGGACTTGAGTTGCACTGTTCCGCAAGTCGCAGCCGCAGCTTGTCTTTGTCGCATCGTTATAGCCAGGATTCGATTTTCACAGATAATCTTAGATATGTGGTATGTGCACCGTGCCTGTGACTGTACATGACAAACGGGAGGACTGGCAGTAGATTGAAAGGATCCCGGGTCACTACAAGTAGCAAGTTGATTCCAAGCCCACTCAAACGCACACAGGCTCTGCGATTTGCGTTTCCTGTGCCCACTGGTTGGAGCGGCAGCCTGCCACAGAAGGAGAAGCCGCTTGTGGCATCCTCAGCAGGTGAACTCTTCGCGTTTTCGATGCTTCCTTGTTGAGTCTAGGGCTGTGTTCCCTTTGCCACCTCAGAGAAGCAGCCGCTCTAAGGGGAACGTCAGTCCGGCTGGCCTCCACGATGACAGAGGCGGCGCCGCCTGCAGGACAGCGGGCCAGGGGGGGGGGCTTTTGTGAGAGGAGCTGAGATGCTCTCAGGAGAGTGGGCCTTCAGGGCATCTGTCCTGGGCTGCGAAGGAGCTCTGTCAGGGCACGTGCTTGCCCTAGCGGGCCGGGTCGAGCACTTCAAAATCCCCCTTTCGTCTTGGTTTGAGGTTTACCTCGACCCGAACGGTCGGGCAGCCTATTTGGCAGATGGGGTGCAGGCAGCTGCGCATCTGGACAGGGCAGCCTAGACTCCTTGATGTATTATCATGGTAATTCGAGGATGGTCTAGAAGTTTCCGTGAGCCACCCGGAAGCTCTACGATCTTCTCTCGTTGACAGATTGTTGGTCGCGGAGTTGGACACTGGGCCACAAGTTTCGATCTCAGAGCTTGCACCTTCCCCGAATTTGGCTTCGGGCTGAAGCCGTCGCCAACTACGTCGTCAACTACATTTGTGCGTTGATCCAACAAAGCTGCTGGATGCCATGTCCTGCTGAGATGGGGAGATGGTGGCGGTGGAGCTGGACGTGTGCATGGCTTATCTGAGTTTCTCTTGGAGAGCACTGTGTGCCAGCCAGAAGTATTGGTGCCTCTTCCTTATTAGGTACCAGTACGCTGCAGCTGCTGCAGTCATTCCGGAGAAGCCACACCGCTTCCGCGGTGTCATGTCCTGAGACCTCTGTCGTGAGACCAGCGTCCCTGGAGCTGAATGTCAATGGGTAGTTCTCTAAATTAGGGTCCCTTTTTAAGTCCCCAATGCAGTACGGCACCCTTAAAAGAAAGGACCCTAAAAGGGACCCGAATTTAGAGAACTACATCAATGAAGGTCTTCGAGCTCAACGGCGTGGCTCGTGGGCCGCAGCAGGGGGTCGGCGACCTGGAACGGCTTTCTAGGTTGCTGCATTTCGCTCGCCCTCATTCCGACAGCCTTCCCTCATGCTTGAGTCGGAGCTGAAGAAGCCCTGAACATTCTCGGGTTCTTGATAAGGGGTTTCAGTTAAGTTGCCAGAATAAGGAAACCATATTATTTACTATAGATGCCGATTGTGGTCGCTTAGATTCAGCATGGCGGAGCCAAGGACTGGTATGCCTGCCCGAGCCAGGAGGCCGGCAAGAGAGCCGGCAGAGTTTGCCTCGGTAGATGCTGGTAGAAATGTCGTCTGTTGTTCTGTGAAATTCCACAATTTCTGGCCGCAAACTCTTGTGACTGAAAAGTGTCGCTGTGTCGCGCTGGGTCAGGCTCCACGGCTCGTCGGTGGTCTCGATGTTGCGGCAGACACCATGGAGCCTTTCAGAGTGTGCATGTTTTGGGTCCATCGATTTATAGCATCTCCGAGATCAACACAAGTCCTTGACGACCACATCGCTGCCGTTTCTCGGTTTTAACCTGTTCGAACTCGCATGCCATCACTCCAGCATGCAGGAGCTGCTGCCTTTAGCCATGGCAGGAAGTCCCACGCCTCAGAATTCCATGGGGATGAAGGGGGCAGCAAAGAAGACTCAAGAGTTTCCCTCTGCTCATGACAGAGACTGTTCCAGCAGGTTCTTCATTACCAAGATATAACATTAGGTGACACCGGCAATGTGTTCTTACAAAACTTGACAGCTCCTTCCCTTCATCTTGTTTCAAGTGCAGCCCGCAGAAAACCACGTCTCTTCCCAGGTGCTGCTGCGGGTCCTTCTCCACGAGTTCCTGCCAGTCTCAGGCCTTGCCCCGTACAGGATTGAAGCGAGGCCTTATTCGCCAAGGTATTGGAGCCGAAGGTCTGTTGATGAATGCACATGAAGACACTGGGAGTTTGAATGACAAGCGGAAGTCTTCTGCCAGGGATCAGGCCATGGAAGCCTTGGACGCGCAGCTGCCTTCTCAGCTGCTTGCAGCGCGGTGACTGGCAAGCCCGAATGACTAAGCTGCTCTTGCTGCCACAGTTACTGTTAGCTTGCGACCCTTGCCACCTCTCCAAATTTGGCACCACGACTTTCTCGTGCTGTTAAGCATGGATCGCGGGTCTGATTGTTGTACCTGCAGTGTGCAGCCGTGCCTTCGTTTTCCTAGCTGCATCCATGTGTTCTCACAGGTTCACGGGGTCAGGTGGCAGTTTTAACTTCCTTGGGCGATCAGGTCAGGCCTCAGGGCAACAGCTCCGGGAACACCTTCTTCCAAGGAGTTGCTGGCACCCTACCAGGCAAGGCGGCCAGACAAATACGGCCGTGGAGCATCAGCCCTATCATGCCGCCACCACAGCCTGATACCGGAAAGAACCTCGGACAAGTTCCCGGTTTGTAAATGGTGAGAACTAGCAGAAGCAGAGGACATAGCAGCCTCAGCGATTCGGAATGCACGTGCTAGCTGTGTGGTCACTTGTGATCATGCTGAAAAGCTGGGAGCTGATATGTCGCTGCAAGTGGCACGCAGCCAGGTTGGCACAATACCAGAGATCTACTATATCCCTGAGTGGATCTCGAAGGCTAGCAAGTCCGACCCGTCAGTGCAGTCACGAAGGTGCCTTTCCAGAGGTCACTCGATCTCAAATGCTTCGTTATACAATCTACACATCTTCATGTCCTCATGTCACCTCTCGGGCTCTATGCCCGCATGAAAGCCTCGGGCGGGATCATGTGCCGTAAAGGAGGAAGAGGCGGAGTTCTTTCAGATCGCTGATGGGGACATGCGCTCCTGGGAGGAGCCTCCTTCAGAATGCGTTCGGCCTCTCTTTCGGGTCTGTGTCTGGTAATGCATGCCAGTAGAAAGGTCTTGCATAACCCTCGGCAAGGCTTGGCTAAATCCAATTGCTGCAGGACATGCGCACGAGATCATCTCAGGAGTGGGGTGCAGGTTGGCGGTGTCCCTGGACCTCTCTGTCATGTCCTGGAGCTGCTTGCCCACATGCAAGCGGAAACATTGGATATCGTTGGATCATGGCCACAAGGGCGGCCTTACAAACCCGTCGCTCTTGTTGTAGGTGACAGATGTACCTGTGGACGAGGGCTGATGCCGGATGCCAAGAATCCAAGAAGCAAGCCAGACTGACATGTGCAGGAGGAGTCAAGCATCCATCAGGTAGGCTTCTCGTCGTTGTCTCATTCATGCTGTCTCTGTGCCGATAGGCGGATGCCTCTGCCAGAGTCGCAGCAGAAGCGAGACTCTAAGAGATGTTGCAGCACTGCCATGCCAAGGGCCACGGTTCAAGTTAGACTCAATCATGTTCCCAGCATGTTTGATCTCCACAAGATTACATGTTGAAGAACGTTGGAGTTAACCGGCCGTTTCAACATCCGTCGCATGGGGTGTGAGTTGACAGCACACATTCGGTTGCATACCTGCAACATCCTGCAACGGCACGTCGTGGCTCTCACTTCGTGATGAATCGTCTGAAAGACAAAGCAAAGGACAAGACTAGATGTCAAGAATGTATGACAGAAGCAGAATCTCTCCGGTGGTCGCCGTCTAGCGCTTCTGAGATTCATGGGAATTATGCGATTTTGAGGTGCAGGTCGGGGTAGAGTTTAAGAACCCCTCATTCGCAGGAGATTCGGACATGTGCAGGGCTACCAAAACCTCGCTCCAAGGATTGCGCAGTATATCTGCCACTCCCATTAAACGCAGTCTATGCGCATCCTCGTTTCATTGGTTACCGACATGCAGGCGATGTATGTGGGAAAGAGTGTCAGGCCATGCAAACAGCAGTTGCGCCAGCCAGATGCACCACGTTGAGAAATGAAGCGCATGATCCGACATGTCCACACATGACAAAAAGTTTTCAGTGATCTGCTTAGGCTGAAACCAGCCGATAGGAGGACGAAGATTGATTCTGGAGATACCGAAACCTGACGGACACGACGAGATGCTTCGCGAACCCTCGCTGTGGGAAGGGGTTACAGCGTGATTTTTGGAAGACGGTGCGTTTCCTTTCGGACATGAGTCTGCAACCGAATCCAACAATACCGGTTGCTGAGTCTCGGTGCTGCAACTATTCTTTGAAGCACTGATGCAGTAACATGCAGCTGAGTTTGCCTTGCAAGCTTACAGCACTTTGGATGTGAAGCTTCCGAGAAACTCACGAACAAAATGGCTAGACATGAGGCCAGAAGGATGCCTGTGCCGTTAACATGTCAGCACCAGTGCTTGAAGAGATGTTGCACAGCACTCGAGCCCTCGCCTGCAACCCTACCGTGGACCAGCGCCCATCGGCCAACAGCCCGAAACCGACTTACAGGTTAGCGGATGCGCTGCACCAGCTCGGCGTCTTCGACGCAGCGCTGCCTCAAGCTCAGCTGCAGTGGGGCTCCTGCACCCCCTTCGGCCTAAAGTTCGACCTGTAAATATCTCGTAATCATTCGGTGGTGCGCTCAATGTCCTGAGAGACTTGTAGGGTGTCTTTGGGTATTTTCGCACATCGATCCAACATTGATGCATCGTTGTGACCTACTCCAAGAGTCTACTTATGTATGGCTGCAGGATGACGAAGGGGCGCGAGGGCCGTGCAGTAGCTTAAGGGTTTGACTGCAGGACCTGCATCTCAAGTTAACTGTCGAACCCTCCAGCCGGAGATTCAGGTGAGGGCCTTGCTTATCAGCCTTTCGTTCAGGATGAGTACGTGAAGATTCGGCATAAAAAAAAGGATGTGCGACAGATCATCCCGTTCCATTGAACAATCTGGAAAGGATGCTCCGGCACAATCTGTGCTCGTGATGAACCACATGCTTTCCGAGGGGCATGCACTAAAGCTGCAGCTGATTCAAAAGCGCGGCAGCTGTAGTTATGTTGTCCGGCCACGAGGCTCTTGGCTGATCGTGCATGGAAGACTTTGACTGATCTGGTTTCTGAGGTATCCCATGAATAGCATTCGCATCAACGGCTACCGGCAGACACCTAAGCAAATCCGGTGAGCTGCAGAAAGCTGAGTGAAGCGCTTGCGAAGCCCAAACAGTTTGTTGCAGCTCCAAAAGCTGAACCTGTACTGCCTGACTTTGCAGCCATGATGTTATGACTGCATGGCTATGGAATGTACTCTGAGGCCCGGACAGGGCATCCATCCGCACTGCGATGGGCCTGTCTACTACCCGAAAGAATCACCTTCTCGCTTGGAAGTCTACCTGCTGCCCTTTTCATCTCTGCAGGGCTGTGGCGGACTCGCATGCGATGAGTGTGAGGGTATGCAGGGTATGCCAATGTTGCGGTCTTTGAAAAACGTGCTCGCGCCGTCCATTGGCCACTGTTCCAGGGGCAAGCACCGCAGTGCACCCACCAGCCAAGGCCAATTCTCAAGAACCCTCGCCTCAGTCACCGAGGACCCAACCCTGAGCCCAAGTCAAACACCAATGGAGAGAAGACTGTTGCAAGATTATGCGAGCATCATGCCTGGAATTCGCTGAAACGAATCTGCTGCAGTAGGTGGATCGTGACACTATCCGCCCATGCGCCGCCTTAACTTTTTCGACCGTCATGTCGTGAAGGAGGACTCGCACAGACAAGTTAGGGCATGATGCGCGGAATGCCTTGTAAGCACTTGTAATTGTAGTAATTGTGATTGTGGAAGCCTATGAGTGGCTGCCCGGGATCCAGATCTCGATCTTTCTCTTTATCTCTCTCTCTTTTTCTCTCGCGCCCGTTCTCTCTTTCGCTCACACTTTCTCTCAGTACGCCTCACTTACGCATGCACTCTCTTCCTGACGAGTCCCTCTGTCGCCCGCTCTCTCCCCTGCCCTGCCCCCTCTACCTCAATGCCTCCCTCCCTCCCTCCCTCCCTCCCTCACTTTCTGTCTCTGCCTTGAGAGTTCAGGGTTTGTAGTGTTTAACGGTTCCTGGTTCAGGCGTGCGAGTTGAAAAAGCCAGCTAAGCCCTAGGCCGACTCACTATTTCGCTGCGCATCCTTCGTCATGAGGAGGGATCTGATGTCCATCCAGGCATCCAGCGGCTCAATGCTACTTTCCTGCAACAAGTGTCTTTCGATGCAGAGAAGAACAATGGCACCGCTGCCACAGTCTGACAATCTTGGGTTGTCGTGTCGCCCTCGACAACCCCTTACCCGTTGCAGAGACATCGTGGTCATTTCGTAGCCGCGGGGAGTAGTCTTGACGATATGGCCGGGGCTCTGGAATTGAGTCTATCATCATTATTGTTTTCATCGTCATAGTCGCTGCAATTGCCAGCGCAATTGCCTTTGTCATCGTCTTTCGTTTTGCTGTGGCTGTTTCTCGTTCGAAGGTGTTCTCGTCTCATTTTTCTGCAGCTGGCTATGGGAACACTCTTTCCGCTGTTTGTTTCAGGTTGGTGTTAGTTTGTGTTGTTTGGGCTGGATTTGGTGTTGTTTCTGGTGGTGTTGTGTTCTGTTTGAGTGTAATGACGGTGCTGTGCTGAGGTAGAGCATGGCGTTGTTTTTGCAATTTTTGCGATTGCTTTTGGTGATGTTAGCGGCACTTGCAATTTCCAGTGCGGGTCACATTATGCCAGTACGGCCTCTTTCTAACTGTGCCCTGGGCTAGGTCGTGTTCTGGCTGTGGTTGCAGTTGCTAGTACCATGTATTGATCGTGATAGGTGTTCGCGGTGGTGTCGGTCTTGTATGTGTGTATGATTTAAGGGACGCTGTCGGTCATGCTTTGCCGGTGAGGTGGTTCTGAAAGTTTCCTGACCTGGATCATGCACGAACGATGCCTCAGTATCTGCATCACATAGAAGCCTACAGCGATTGACCAGCGCTGTCAGGTGACTGCCACTTGTGGTAGCTCGGACCACCTCTGGCTTGGCGAAGCGAAGGGTGAAGTCAGGCCGGCATCGGTCGCGGCAACGATGATTGAAGTGGTAGATCGTCGGAGGTGCAAGCACCATCTCAAGAATTGTAACAACATCAGCCATCACAACAAGGGAAACACCTATTGTGCAAGCAAAGTATCCAAAATAAGAACCTTCTGACAAGAAGCAAGCGTAGCAGCAGCAGCAGCAGCAGCAGCAGTCGCAGCCGAAGAAAGGAAGACATTGTTGACCCAGCAACCAGCAACAACAAAGACAGCAGCAGCTGCAGCAGCAGCAGCAGCAGCAGCAGCAGCAGCAGCAGCAGCAACGTCAACTTCGACGGCAACAAAAGTGACGACGACAAACTCGCAGAACTGCAGAACTGGCAGCAACAGCAGCAACGGCAGGAACCACCCTGACAGTGGCATCACCCATGATGTCAGCAAGTACCCCTGCTGCCAGCAGTTGCGAGCAAGACCGCTGGACATGGATTTTGGAGTAATTGGTCGCTGTCTTGGTGACGGTAGTACCAGTAGACTCAGTAGATGGAACAGAAAATCAGCAGCAGAGCTGTGGTTGGTGGTCGTAGTGGTGGCGACGGTTGCAGCTAAGGGTCATGCGAGGTGACTATGCGAGGTGTAGATCGGACAAAGCACTGATGTAGTGCTTCGCACGACGACGACGATCACTACTACTACTACTACTACCACTACTACTACTGCCACTAGTGCTACTACCACCACCACCACCACNNNCTACTGCTACTGCTACCGCCACCACCACGACGACGACGACCACCACCACGACCACCAGCACCACTACTATGACCACTTCTTAGTTCTTCTGCTCCTGCAATATGCTGCAACAGGTACAGGTAGACCCTTGCCGCTGAACTCTGTGTCAGGATAGGAGAAATCCCAGGTGTCTAGACCGCCAGTCCAAGCTTTCCGGGGCAGTCCGCGTCTTCGACCGGGAGTTGATCGCGTTGTCGGTACCGGCCTCAGGGTTTAGGGCCATGAACCCTGAAGGCCTGAAGGCCCCTTCTTCACAGGAACTTGCATGATCCAAGATGCCAGACCATTTCAGATCCAATGCTGAGTCGAAGGGCTGTGGCACAGCATCCCATGGCAGTTTGCGGTAGCAACACCGCCATGCTTCCAGTACCTAGCAGAACCCACGGCTTGAATCTTCAAATCGCGAGGCTTTAACTGTTGCAATCAAGGCAACCAGACTTCCGAAGCAACCTGTTTGCGTTTTCGCAGGGTGCCCACGGTGGCTCCGGTGTTGCTTCACGTCTTGCTGCTGGCCCAAAGCGATGAGAAAGGACATTTGAATTTGCATCAACGTCCAAGCAGACAGCACTCCCTGTCAGAACGGACGAGCTTCCGTGGTGGGGCAGCCTAAATATCAAATCATGTTGCCTTCCCTTGATACCCGACAAGCACAAGCGGGCCGTAGGCCATCAACGGAGGCGCTGTAGAGCTTAGCAGTTGAATCTTGCACTTGCAATGCTTGACAATGTCAGATCCCGGGCGCTTTTGCGTCTCCGGAAGCAGCAGCATTGGACTTACTTCAGAGGGCAGCACAGAGCAGGAGGGCAGTGCTGACGAAGAGGCCAGATCGAAGAGCTCAGCATCTTCTTCGAGCGACGAGGGAGATGTGGTGGATGGCGAAAATGTGGCCTCGAAGGAGAACCTGGCGCGATACTGCAAGGAAAACTTCGAGAGTGGCGTGAACGATGCCACACTCGAGAAGCTGCAAATGCCTGAAGACTGGATTGAGGGAATCAAGGAAACATGGCTAGCCTTTGTTGAGAGGTCTGGCTCTAGGCAAGCGGCTGGAGAAGCCGTCTGGGACGCCGTCATGGAGCTGGCACCGCATTTGCAGAAGTCCTTTCGTTTTTCACGCCAAGTATTTGCCATGCGGTTCATGAATGGCACAAGCAGCCTCATTGCAGATTCTGGGAACCCAGAGGCTTTGAAGGACAAGGCTGAAAAGCTGGCTTTCCAGCACATGAACACGGTGTCGCTTGAGAATGTTGAGACCTTCGTCGCGGGCATCACGACGGCCATGGACGGCGAGCTGGGACATCGTTTCTCCGAGGTGTCCTTCCAATGCTTCCGGATCCTCTTCAATTACATAGGGGGCATCTTCTTGTTCGTGAAGCGCGAGTACGGCGAACGGGTTCGACGGATCCTTTGCAGCTGGAAAGATGCTAACAAGTACAGTGCGGAGAACCACGAGCGTGAATCAGCGGAAGTGCTCGGAGATGCGACTGGGCAAGCTCCGGGACGGAAGGAGCCTGAAGGTGGCGACAGCAAGGCTGCACGAAGAAAGAAGGTGATAGAAACTCCACAGACCTTCAGGGACATGTTTATGTTCAATGCGTCTGTTATGGGCTATGCTGATACGGACTGGATGAAATGCACATTGGATTATCTTGGCGCAATGGCGAACAATGCTGACAAACCATACAGGATGCAGGAGGAATGCCATGTGTTGGCGTTGATTCTCAACCGACACTATGTTGCAAAAGGAAGGAAGACCATCTCCCTGGTCAGCTTCAAGACCGTCCTGCCTCACGGACTGATACTACACTTGTTTTCCACGGCGCAGCTGTGAGTTTCATCTAGGTTAGCGACAGCATGTAGGAATGATACGAGCTAGCATGAGCTAGCAACTGTAGGAATGGAAACGATTCAACAAGTGAAGTCGCAGGAATATATTCATGGCCATAATCCTCAATGCATCTACACGTCCGTCCGTCCCTCCGTCCATGACCTACCTGCTTCCCTATTTGTCTATCTACAAATGTTACAGGTACAACGGTAGTAGCAAGCATGTCGCATGAGTCATACATAGGCCGCACTGCTGGTGGTGGTTTCTGGCAGCTCAGGTTAGCGTCACTTCGCTCCGTGATGCCTCAAGACTGGGAGCCTCGAATGAAAAGACCTGCAGACTCGACTGTGGCTCTGCGTGCAAGGGCCGCAGAAGACCTGGCGCCTGAGACCCCATGAAACTCAAAGCTTCCCGACTCTCCCAGGACATGGAAATCGAAGAAGCTTGGATCTGGTTTTGGGATCAGATCGCTCGCACGCTCTCCGGATGCCTCACAAAGGTGTTGCTTGGCTTCCAGACTATGCTTCCATCATTTGGCGTTGTCAGAAAAACAGCTCGGTTTCAGGGATGTTTTGAATAGTACAGACTTGGTGGCGTGGCCTTCCTCTCAGCCAGGGCCGTTTGGGGGCTTTTGCAGTGGACCAAACGACCGGGCTGGCAATTGCTTTTCCCCGCTTCTGTAATGATCGCTTGTGGTGTGTCGACAAAGAGAGAGTAAACAGAAGTGAGCGAAAGGCATGCATGTCAGTAAACCCTCCCAGCATACTTGGTGGCAAGCAAACCGCTACTCCACTACTGCTACTACTACCTCTGGTTCCAGTACCACTACTACTGCTACTGCTACTACTGACACTTAGTATCACAACTTTCGCCACAGGTACTGCTACTAACTTTACTACTACGACGACTACCACTACTACTGCTACTACTCCTGCGACTACCTCTACTACTACTACT